CTACTAATCTTTTTTTTTAACATGGATTCCAGGGCACCTACAAATTACAATCGAACCGTACCTAAATCGAACTGTCTTACAACATAAGCTTAGGTCTATGTATCGTAATAGCCTGCTTTAGTGGCTAGTCAAGCGTGAACACCAATCGTATAACTTTAACAGTTTTATCTCGGCCTACCAGTATATCATTAAGTGCTGTTTTATAAAGAAAGGAAATTTGCTTTGGTTTGTTGGGTTAGTACTCCACACAGACGCGGCAGCGAAATCTGCGACTTGGCCCAGTATCAATATTTGTGAATATCGTAAATGCGATTTTGTCAGACACTTCAATGAGCTGCTGTTGGGAAAGTAAATTGATAACATCACTAATATGTGACATCTAATGAGTAGAAACATATTACAGGCCAACTATCACCTTCACGACTTTGGTCGGACGTATATACGCAGAGAACTGGATTTTACGGAGTTACCCCGAAGTGACATAAACGCTGACGCTCACGCGTCCCGAGTTATGCAAGGACGTACAATAATGAACATTTGTTTCGTTCTGGGAAAGAAACTTGTCCACAGACAAATAATAATAATTTTACTACAATAAATCAAATTATCTACGTAAATGATTAATCTGCTAATTACCGACAGGTAGGGTTCAAGTAAAGCAAAAGCTCGTATACTTACCCCTATATGGCATACAAAAAAACACCACAAAAAAAGCAAAACACAATACATTACCTACCTGGAACACAAGACGCTATAATTAGGCATACACGAGTGAGACCGGCCAGACAAGGTTACATCGATGTTTGTAAAAACAATGAAAACATCAACGTTGAGGAGTCTCCATGTTAACGTAAATGCTTTCAAAGAAAATGATTCAGTTCCTTGAGAAAGAATGTAGCGTGAAAGACCCTTCAAATCTACCCTTAAATCGTTCCAAAACAATTCACCATTTGATGTCAGATTATGTTGTAATAACAGTGTGTAAAAAAAATGCAAACTAAATATACGGAATGCCACTATGCCAGACGTAGAATGTGTAACCAACATAGATAATATAGGTTTTGTTTGAAAGATACGCCTTTCCACTTTAAAATGAGATATTGAATGTCCGAATCTGATAATTTTGGACAGAGTTAGGCCTAGGAGTAATTTTCCAAGAGAGGTCAAATTGACCATGGGACCAAGTTTAATTCTAGGCATTGGGACAAAGGTAGCCGAATTGCCTCTGTGTGTATATTAAATTTTGTCTGGCCTACAGAAAATGTATTTGGCGAGTAAACACAATTCTAAACACTTATTTGACGAGAGCCAATTACTTGGGGGGGGGGGGGTTGACGGATGCTGACAGCCAACAGCCGTCCCCAGCGTGATCTGGCCCCCCCCCTCCGACAGCTCCGACAGCAAACAATATTACAATGGACCCAATATCCTCTTCTTTTATTTTGATTGAAAGAGAACCGTTCTTGGTGCACATGTTAGTTGATCACTTGTAGATCGCTGTTGATCGGCAATTTATCATTCAAAATACGGGTGTGTCATCCCATATAATGATGCAACGCGTATAGACGCCGTTCCATGACGTCATTAATCAATATGGCGACGAGTTTCTCACCTTTTCCCGCACATAATCAGAGACAAGCTTCTCAATCGTCTTCTATCACTGGGGCTATTTTTTTCCTTTTATAATTGGCCAATATAACGAGTCATTGACGTCAAGTGTAAATACTCCGCATGGTAATTGGCCCCGGGTGCATTTAACATTATTTTGAATCATCTGCAAGTGTGGAAAATTGCCAATTTGTTTTCTCTCTGGGCGTTGTTCTGCATTAAGACGCACGTACCTCGTTATGTCGTTTGATGTAAGTACCGCAAAGTACGGCTTACGCAACTTTGATTAGCATGAGCACCAGTGCACGTATTAAATCCTCAAAATATTTGGTGCAAAACAGAAACAGGTTTTCTTTTTTCTGTCAGAGTTTCTCAGTTCAGTTTAAAAATTATGAATAATGATTTTATTATTTTGAAACATTGACACGACTATGAGCGGTATTAAGTTTAGAAATGTAGACATGATAAATAAAAAAAATTGCATTTTTTAATGAATTACTCATGATTCTACAAGATAAGCATGGCGGCATCCTGCACAAATCCTTCCCAGGCATGCATTAAGCCAGTGCCAATGCATGCAAAGGCAATCTGCATTTTATGGTCTGAAATAATTTTCAGATTTGATTCAGAAACGGAGACATGATTCTATATCCTCAAAGCAGGGACGTGCCTATAAAAGGACTTTCAAATACATGTACATATACGTAATTTGATGTCAACCTATGCATTGCACCTGGCTATAGGGATTAAGGATGAACACTGTTCACTTAATATAGCCTCTGTACAAAACCAAGACAATTTTTGAAGCACTCACCGTACAATTTACGACTTGACTCTTGTGCCTCGCTAGATGTTAAAGATTGCCACGAAGTATGAACTGACTCGAATAACGTTTCCAAATCAGTCCTGCTACACTGCACGTGACCATGACGTGACAAACAATGTGGCCGCACGACAAAACCGCCATTTTCAAATGCACTATTCGCTTTCGCGTGCCACGCATGTATCTATCAAACGTACAATACAAAGCACTTGGCATGCCGGTTGAGAATATGCATGAGTGCTAGTCCAATAACGAGCCTACCAATCAAGGACCTAAAATCTTGGTTACTTATTTACGTGGTGCGTGCTTATAACATAAAAAATAACTACAAAGGATTAAAGAACAAACTGTGTAGGCCTACTGTTTAAAACATATGTGACCAAAATGTTAAAGGGCTGATTATTCTTGATCTTCAACAGGGGTTTAAAGACAGCCAGTACCGACAACGACGGAAAGTATTCGCCGACATCGCTTATCAGTATCGTCAGTAAGTATTCGTTTTGTGGAATTTATGAAAATGGCAGGAATCTCAGCAGTCAATCTAAAAAAAAATAATTGGTTTTAAAGTCTGTGGATAATCGGTTTAAAATGTAAGTATTATGAACTTTCAAACAGCAATGCAATTGAATTGTGCTTCTTTGTTTCACCATACAGTGGTCAGCCAATCCCTCGTGTTAAATACACCGAGAGGAAACAAAAACATGGTAGGAACATTATATTTTCGAGAGAGCTAGGAATGACATAAGTCCATCGAATATATTCTAATTGTTAAAACCACCGTGGGCCGAATGTTGGTACACACTTCTGCAAATAACTTGACACATCATTTTGTATCTTTTGTGTTGATAATACTGTGAAATAATATTCTTTCACAATGACTTTACACTTTTTAATATTATTAAACGATTTTTGTTTACTCCTTAAAAATGACAACACCAATCGGTTTTGCGAGGCGATGTCAAACTTTGAATGATAATGGTTGGGAAAACGCCGATGAAAACAGGCTAAAACAACACAAGATTTCTTTAACGAGACACGTTAGCGCCAGCTTGTATTCCACAGAAGTAGCCAACAATAAAAATCTAAGATGATTGGACTCTATTTCCTGATCTAATCAGTTTTTTCATTTCAGATAATTCTTACGGTTTTCATTTTTTTCTTCAAGGGGACGTGTATTTTCCGACGTGACTGGTCTTTACCCGCTCTATGCCTGCAGGGAATATAACGAGAATCTACAGATTCTACGCGATCATTTCGGCTTCAGGTAAAAACAACTCCATGATTGGTTGAAACTGAGCCAAGGCATTCCTGATTGGTCAAAGTTGACGCGATACTTTTCAGTCGTCAATTCATGCATAACATTTGCATAATCAGGCCTCTGATCGGTTTTCATTAGTTATAAAAACCAATATTTTAAAAATCATCACTGCTTTTTTTTTCTCCTGCAGAGAGGACAACATACCACAACTTGAAGATGTTTCGGTCTTCTTAAAGGGTGATTTTCAAAATGATAGTTCTAGGCCTACTCGAAAAAGAACTTTGAATAAATTTGACTGATTTAAAAATTACGAAATGAAATGAAAAACACGTGACTTGCTTGCTAAACAACTGTCACATTTCCACAACCGTTCTGTAATCAAAGTCCTTACTTGTGATATATTTTGTTTTATGTATTTATTAATTTTTTTAATAATATTTCAGAACGCTCGGGTTTTCTGCTCAGGCCGGTAGCTGGCTATCTGTCATCACGTGACTTTTTAGCGGATTGGCGTTTCGAGTGTTTCACTGCACTCAGTACATTCGTCATGCCTCCAACCCGTTCTACACACCAGAACCGTACGTTATGCATCTTAAAGCCCACAAATTTCAACAAATAAAAAAAAAATTATATTGATTGAACCAAAAACTCTGTAATCAACTGTTTTCTTCCATATCAGTGATTGCTGCCACGAGTTATTTGGTCACGTGCCGATGCTGGCGGACAAAAGCTTCGCGCAGTTTTCACAGGTAAGATAATAGAGGAGTAGTGCGTCATTTTGATCGATGAAATAATTATTAAAATGGACAATCCGACAGTGTCACAAGTACATTCTTGAAAATTGTTGATATTTTTGTGATCGATTCTGCTAGACCAGCTCTCAAATGGAATTTTACACGTTGAAATACTCACCTGGGAACCCATGCGTCTTGATAGAGCAATTGTTTCCTGGATGAAAATGTTTTAAAGGAATATACATCATTTGCTTTTGCTGTAATTTTCAGAATGGATGGAATTGGGGGGTTGGAAATATATAGCAAATATAGTTACTCTGACTTTTTGAGGCTTTGGGTTTGAAAATGCTATAAAAACCAAGAAAAACAATCATTTTCCTGTAATCTGGTTCCCTGACTCCATATAAGAAGAAACAGAGCAGTTTACATACATTGGGAATTGTAAGGTCAGGGAACCAGTCTAGATGGCTTGTACCCGTTCATAGGTGTGTAATCGATTGCAAACAAGTGCGATGGTCAATTGGGGCCAGTATTTGAAAAAAAGCCAGTTTTTTCCAACGCTGATCGGCCGACCAGCGTTGGAAATGATACAAAAATACCACTTTCTTGAAAATGACAGTATACCAGGTGCCATGATTTTACAGGATGCTTTACACTGTCATTCACTAACAGTCCAGCAAGGTATTTCAAAATGATTTGGTAGTTTTATTTTTTGATGTTTGCAAATGTTGTATTTTCCCTTTAACATTAATTTGAAAAAAAAAACCTAAAAAACTAAGGTTTGTATAAAGAAATAAACGCGATTAGTTGTTTTATTGAGGAAAAAATAGGATCATCAAGTTACTTTTTGTACCTTTTAACTGATTGATCTTTTTCCTCATTCCCGCAGGAAATTGGACTAGCATCCCTTGGGGCATCTGATGAGGATATCAAGAAATTAGCGTCGGTAGGTAAACTGCTCGAGTTCCTAAGATCGAAATGAGTTGTCAGCCCTTAAAATATTAATGTATTATTCGCCATTAACAAATAGATTGAACAATCCATTCATATTTAGGCCACAATAGTTCTGCTTCCGGTTTCCCTACCTACCCTATTCTGACAGCCCCTACCCTATTTTTTTATGGGAAAAATGAGAAAAAAACACCCAAAACCATCAATTTCTATCTTTTACCCTTGACTACACACAGACACCTCCATATGATCGCACCAAAAAAAAATTGGCAAACAAAATTATTTCCTACCTACCTACCCTATTTTCAAATGCCATGTAATCGAAGCAGAACAATTTTTTTTGGCCTTAATATCTGTACAGCATTTTAAATAATTTTTATATCACAAATAACAGAGAGCGATATAGATTTGAGAACAAATTACATATCTTGAAAATCAAAATTAGGTATGTGTTCAAATATCAGACCCACCTATACTGACTTATTACATTATGCCTACTTGACCAATTAACAAAAATAATTGACAAACGACCCAATTAATCACACTGATTATATTATGCAGATTTATACTCATTATTTTCTTCACAGTGTTATTTCTTCACGATTGAGTTTGGTCTCTGTAAACAGCAGGGCCAGCTCAGGTCTACGGTGCTGGTTTGCTGTCATCAAGTGGAGAACTACAGGTATGTAATAAATACTATTTAAAACGAAAAATAACATTGAATTGTGTAATGTGGTACAGATGCTACTTGTTCAGGCCTTAGTTGATCATATGATTCGTATCCTGACCATCCCACAGACAAACTGAGAGCCCAGCAACATACAAACAGACTGACAGACCACCCACAAACCAAACAACAGATCAACCGACAGACCAACCAACTTACCTGGCAACAGGCCAACCAGAAGATCAACCGATAACCTATCCAACATACCCAGCAACAGACAACCAACAGACCAAATAAAATACAACTGACAAATCAACTGTGCGATAACCGACGCACCAACATACAACTGACAGACCAACAGACAAGTGAAAAAACAACAGATTAACTAACAGACCAACCGACAGACCTACCAAAGAAAAACACCTGCCAACCCAACAAGTGCATTGATCATACACTTATATCTTCACAAAATGAACGATCAATTAAATGTTTACATTTAATCAAAACTTTCAACCATTTTTTTTCTCTTGTTGCCAATCCCAGCATGCTATGTCCAGCGAAGCCAAGATGCTACCATTCTCCCCAATAGCAGCTACGAAGCAGAATGTCGTATCACTACATACCAAGATGCGTACTTTGTTTCTGAGAGCTTTGAAGAAGCTAAAGAAATGATAAGGTATTCTTGCCTGATACTTGAATCTATTAAGGCAACCCAAAAAAGGCAACCGATTGTCCCTGCTTGAGTCACTGACGGACTAATTAATTCACCGAGTCACTGACTGACTGACTCCCAAGTCACTGAGTATACCTAATGTCCTGAATTTAGACTTTCTGGTCCAGCTCGACTAGCCAGTCTTGTGATATATAGTTACCTGGTTATTTCCTGTACAACCTCTTCCAATCAACCCTAACCTTAACTTTGACCTCAACAACAACTACCCACACAAGGGTGGGCTTGGAAGTTGAGCGGTTGTTTGGCGAGTAAACACACGCCAATACTTCAGACCGACGTTACTTATTTCCCAAACTTTCTTCCCGACATAAAAATGATACAGCATTGCAAAGTCGGGTACAATGCGTAAAGGCTTTGGTCCCTTTAAATTTGACTTAATTGTTGCAATTTCTCACTTTGCACCATTCTCTTTTCTTCAATCCTGACTAGGGATTACGCCAGCATGATCCGTCGCCCCTTCTCCATCCGCTACAACCCTTACACCCAGTCAGTGGAGATACTTCAGTCTGCTGAGCAGATCAACAGTGTCATCGATGAGCTGAAGGATGATCTCAGCCTTCTGAGCAGCATCTTGGCCAAGGTTGTGGTGTCCGATGACAGGGAAGGGAAGAGCCTCGAGTCAGACTAACCATCATCACTGATAACTAGGCCGTGTCCAAATGCCTACGGCTATGGCTACCAGAAAACACACGTAGGCTTATATGGGAAGTGGCTTCAGCTACTCACACAGGCACTTGTCTGATTGCGAGCCATAGCCAATTAACTCGGACAGGGCTTTAGAGTCTTAGCGGTTTAACGATCGTCATGATTTTATTGTATGATCAAATATTTGTATATTATTTCAAGAGCTCACTTTATTTTAGAGGGTGTTACCAACAAGTGGCGTAAACTGGGGTTCAATTTGTAGGGAGGACACTTAGGTGGTGGTGGGGGGGGGGGGCACTCAATGCATTTTTAACAGTAAAGGCTATTTTTTGCCCACCCCAAAGTCTGAGTGGGGGACGGGGATCCGGAGGGGAGGGGATGGGAGACCTCAAAGTAGGCCGCCCACCCCAACCTTAGTTAAAACACTCCGTGTTACTTGAAGTGATATGTTGTGTGGCTACCCACAAGAACTGTACACAGGGCGCGTCAAAAGAAAGTGACCCTGATTATATTTTATCCTTAAAAAGCATTTAAAATTTGATACACAAATGATGTATGTCTTAAGAGAGCATGTTCTTCCGCTCATCTGGAAAAAAAAAAAAGATTACCGAAATTGATCCATGCTATCAGAAGTTATGATGTTTTACTAAAAGAACCCATTTTCATAGCTGTCCATTGCAAGTCATTGAAAGTGAGAATTACATGACACACAAGTGTTAAATTGCAAATGAGATTTCTATCATTTAAATCAAGACTCAAACATTCTTTTTACTGTCAGCTTGTTTTGAATGAGGAACAATTAATTTCTTTCCTTGACATATTAAAGGTGATTTGTGTATGTTTTCCGATATTTCTCGTTCATCCATGGAGGTTGGAAAACGTCCATGTTCCATTGTATTTCATGGGTATTTGTCAGTTCGTAAAACGTTAAATGATCAGTGGTGGACAGCTGATTTTGTGATCTTTTTAATAAAATTTGCAGGTACCAGTCAACAACATGTACTATATGCTGTTAATATTTTTGTTATCCCCATGGTAAATAGAGTAGACCTAGACCTACCTAAGCACCAAAGATGACATCCAGAAAAATGTGTTATGTATGGTAATTTGATAAACAAGTTGCACAAAATCGGTTACTCACGTTACGAAAATGTAACGTGAGTAACCGATTTCGTGGGTCTTATCATACATAACACATTTTTCTGGATGTCATCTTTGGTGCTTAGGTAAGTCTAGGTCTACTCTATCTACTATGGGGATAACAGTTATTAAACCTTTTCAGTAAGGTAATTACAACCCAATGAAACTCAAAAGTACATCAAAAATGTAACGTAATCGTGGAATTGCCCATATGCTCTCGTTTACTCTGAATGCACACAATCCTGAGGCATCTTCGTGTTGATGCTGGACGTGTACAAGTGAGGGAGCTCCTAATGCATGGACTCCATAGCCACGCCCAAAACAAACAGCAAATCGTCAAGCATCTGTAAGCTAGATCTCTGAAAAAGAACAAACATGTTAGGCAGAGGGAGAAAGAGTATAAGCAAGTAAAATGATCAAACCTCGTCTGTCACTTTGCAAGAAGCATAATTTTTAAGATAAAGCACTTTTTTTTAAGCACAACGTATGTTTCCCTTCTGACAAATGGACAAATTTGAACAGCGAAGACTATTTAGAATCATTTTATTTTGTGCAAATATATATGTGATTCAAATCAAATGTAATACAAAATTACTTTCCCGAAGTGTAGTAAAAAAAATATGGTCAAAACAATCAAGCACACAAGGCTGTTTAATTACAATATACTCATGCAAAATACGCATTCATTTGAATAGCACAAAAAATATATAAATATTCTAGTACTGATTATACAATTTGAAAGATCAGCATGCATGTATATACATATTATACCAATAAATTATTTTAAAATTACAGACAGAACTCACATATCTAACTTTCATTGAATGATTTTTTTTTAAAAAGCCACTTATAATGTTTTGGAAAAACACTTGAACATTTCATCTTTCTTGTAGACCTGTAATTCATAATTTATAAATCATAATCTTAGTTCGAAGCCTTATCAAGGATTAGGTTAAAATATTCAAGGTTTCACGTTGTGGGTTGAATGGAGCGTGAAACAATATTATAGATCAAAATTCAAAATCTTACATAAATGTTTTAAACGCTGTTCTGTATAACTATCTATACTATCAATATGTAGATAGGGCTTGCTGCCCTGTTCTGGGTAAAGTTGTTGAAAGTTGTAAAAAAAGAAAGAAAGAAGCTAGCTTTGGATATTATATATTGAAATCTGTACTGAAATCAACTTAAATTATAACGTAACCTGTGATTCCTTGTCATGTGTAGCCTCATTTTTAAATCCTTATGATCTATTTGGCTTAATTAAACAATTTCGATATTAAAGATGTTTAAATCTTAAAACTGTAGTTACATAATAAGCTATAACTGCGTTTGAGCTGGTGGGTAATAAATAATGAAGTGTACTTTTCCAACTCTATCATTTGAACTAAGAATAAACAATATTCATCGATTTGAGTGTGCTATGTCTGAGATCTACATTTTAGTGTTCTTTTTTTTTTTTACATCTGTGCAATTTTGTACCGCGTTTGAGGAGCATGACTGAAAATCATTGAAAATTACAGTATTCAACAGTCACCTAGACTTGGTGCCAAGTCGGTAATTGTTTTGGCATACAGTACCGGTTACTAGCTCCACGCACGCAAAATATCGCTGCAATGCGCGTAGTCTGGTTCCCAGACCAAATGATGCTGGAGTTAAATCATAACCGACTTGGCGAATACGTTTTCAATTGTGTGCACAACATATGGGAGTACTTTGAATCACTAGCGAATTCTATGCGAGCACTCTGATTGGTTCAGATTCCAGTGTGTTTTTCTAGGCCGCCACGAAAGATCATTTTAATTACTTCAAGGAGTTGTACTATGTGTTGATACATTTTTTTTCTATACACAATTGACCTAGCTGAGTGTATTTGGTCGTTTTAAACCGTCGCCAGGTCTGCAAACATGTCCCTGACGTATTGAGAACTCTCCACGTAACGGAATAAACGAGTCCTCATTTGCATAGCCGTGCGCCATTGAATCTCACCGCAAAAATTCACTGCATATGTAAATGCAGTGAATATGCATATATAAATAACGGTGCGAGAACGTAATCGTCAAGTCGTTTAAGGATATGTCGCAACCCGGCCGATTACGTACTAGTCTTACACCAGCCGCACCGATGGAGTTTCCGACTGAAGTTCACGGACAAAACACAACTATCTAACGACTTGTCATCAAGTGTAACAGCCACCCTCCAATCTCCTTTTCTGTTTTGTCAAGATATTCTGGTGGAATGATACACAAACAACTAAAAAGTGTTTTCAAGAGTAATGCTTGTTGTGATGTGTATTTATAAAGCGCACATATCCACAGTGTCGCTGCTCAAGGGCCTACATCATTATAAAGATAATGACGTTCCCAAAGGAAAATTAGGGAATTTGTTTTTTTAATGTGTCATCAATCTGTTGTGACACAGTATTCAAAAA